CAAACCATATATACATTGCCATAAACCTTAAAAGTAACGCAAAACGTCAGAAGTTGACCCCACCTCTCCCCTGCTAATCTTACACGAACCCCGCACGGAAGAAAAGTAATTAAATTCATATACCATTGTGGTAGAGCCATTGTAGGGTAAGTGGACCCCACTAAAAAATTTCCTTTTTAAATATTTTAATTCTAAAATGACATAATATTGTTTGCAGGCTAATTATATTTAAAATGTTAAAAGCAAGTGAGTTGACAACAAACTCAAACCCTATATCCCTTGCCATAAACCGTATAAGTAACGTAGAACGGCAAAAGGTTGTGAAGCCAAAGACGAGACGATAACGCCCCTAGGATCCAACCCACAACACCTCATGTCACCTATCACTTCTAATCGACTACCGACGACGATACGCCGTTAACACAAAGGGTCAAAGTTTGGAAACTCGTGTTTATATGATCGTATCTTTTATCAAGTTACTTTCTTTATTTATGAATGTTCATTTATTACTTATTAGTTAATTTATTTCATATGAAATTGATTAAAGTTTTATTGAGAATATTTGAGTTTTACCCCAATTTTGTGAAAGTTCGTTTTAGAATATGAGGGGAACATTTCTAGGAGTGAATAACATTACTCTTATTTTTATTATGAACAACCCATATATAACAGTTAGTTTTCCAAATTTTTTACTAAATGGCAGCTTGACCTTCAGTTGAATCACAATCTAAGGTCTGATTGTTATTCATAAGGCTTTGGTGCTAGTACCATTATTGTTGGTCAACATACACCTTAGAAATTCTCCTTCCCATGCCCCACCCCCTTCCTCTGCTAACCTTACACGAATCCCGCACGGATGAAAAGTACTTAAATCCATATACTATAGTGGTAGAGCCGTGGTAGGGTATGTGAACCCCACAAAAATAAATCATTTTTAAATATTTTAATTATAAAATGACATTGTTTGGGTGCTAATTATTATTATTTTTGAAAGTAGGGCTAATTATTTTTAAAAAGTTAAATGCAAGCGAGTCTACAGCAAACTCAAGCCCTATATAACCTTGCCTTAAAGCTTTGAAGTAACGTAGAACGGCAGAAGGTTGTGAAACCAAAGACGAGACGATTACGCCTCTAGGATCCAACCTACAACGCCTCACGTCACCGATTACTTCTACTCGGCTACCGACGGCAATACGCCGTTAACATAAAAGGTCAAAATTTAGAAACTCGTTTTTATTTCTTAAATCTAGTTACTTTCTTTATTTATGAATGTTCATTTATTAGTTAATTTATTTCATAGGAAATTGATTAAAGCTTTATTGAGAATATTTGAGTTTTACCCGGAGTTGTGAAAGTTTGTCTTAAGAAATTGGTTGAGAATTGTGAGTATTCTGTCTAATTGGTGTAGACCTTTTGGTCCTTGTTGTTGTGGGTGTTTTGTGTTAATTAGCTACTAAATACCGATTAGCACTAAGTTTTATAATAATTTACATGTTGATTATGGTTTATAGTTTTTTTGGAACCCTTGGATTCTAGATTCTTCAATTTGATTAAAATTTCATTTTTATGTTAAATATGTTGTTGAAATGTCAAATTAATGATCTGGTAATTTGTTATAACTAAAAAAAAAAATAAACATTACATTTTGATTTATAATTTATAATACGTTTTGTATTCATACCGAATTAAAACGTATTATAAATCAAAGGGAAAATTGTAAAAAATGTCCCTCTATAATATGTCAATTATCAATGTTACCCCTGAATTATGAGTGGTGTAAATGTTGCCTCTCAATTATCAAAACGGTGCACATTATCAATGTTACCCCTGAATTATGAGTGGTGTAATTGATCCACTGTACTTCACGGACTGTGGCGGCGAGAGCTCGATATTCCGCCTCGGAGGATAAACGTGAAACCCTAGCTTGTTTCTTTGATCTCCATGAGATGAGAGTTGGCCCCAAAAACACACAAAAACCAGTGATGGATCTCCGTGTGGTCGAACATGCAGCCCAGTCTGAATCGGAGAACACATTTAGATGCATGGGAGTTCCCTTTGGATAGAGAATTCCCTGTCCAGGAGCCTTCTTAATATAGCGTAACACCGTGATGAGCAGCAGTCATGTGTTCACTTGTGGGGGCATCAACGAACTGGCTCAGCTGTTGCACTGCATATCTAATCTCTGGACGTGTTACTGTGAGGTACAATAATCGTCCTACTAGTTGTCTGTAGCTCCCGGCATCCCGAGCAACATTCAAGATATGTTGATGCTCTCGTTTGGCTATTGCATTTTGCTGTGGGGTGTTGACGCAAGATCTCTAGTGAATTATACCCTTCTCAGCAAAAAAAATCATCAATTCTGAACTCTAGACCATTGTCACTACGGATGGCTTTGATCATGGTTCCAAACTGAGTAAGGACAAAGGCATGAAACTTCTTTAAGAATGGCATTGTTTCAGATTTGTCTCTCATCATGTGAAGCCAAGTGAACCTTGAATGATCATCTACTATTGTTAAGAAATAGCGTTCTCCTTTCAAGAGCAAACTGAAAATGGCCCCCGGATATCTACATGGATAAGCTCAAAGCATGAATTCGAGACAGTGGTGCTTAATGGAAATGGGGATCTTTTCTGTTTGGCAAGATGACACACATCACAAACAATGTTTTTATTAGAAGAGACATCAATGTTTTTGAAAAGATGAAGTTTGTTTGCAGGAAAATGGCCTAATCTTCGATGCCATATTTCAGAACTACTACATTGCATTGTATAGTTTCTATTTTCCAGCCTTAGTGGTTCCAAAAGGTAGAGCCCCTGTTCTTGCTTAGCTATACCAATCGTCAGCCCATGAGCTTCCTGGATCACACACTGCTTAGACATGAAAACCAATTTATGAGAAGTATCTTGAACTAACCTGCTCACTGAGATTATATTAAATTTGAATGAAGGTATATGTAGGGAATCTTTCAACCATAAACCATTGCTGAGTTCAACATTTCCTATGTGTGTGAGTGTGACAGTTATGCATTGTCCATTAGGTAGAGTGACTTCAGTACCATTGGCCAAACAATAATCAACAAGAGAATCCAAGGAACAAACAATGTGATTTGTAGCTCCCGAATCAAGGATCCAAGTATTTGAGCATAAAGATATAGAATTAACATGAGTTATGGGGCACTTGCCTTCATCAGTTGGGTAGTGTGCCTCATTGAACTTGGAAACTAAAGAAACAGTAGCAGTAGTGGAAGAAGATGGCTGTCCAGTAGTATGTGAAAGTGATTGTCCAGCTTGTGGCTGAAGAACAGATATGATCCTTCGCAGCTGTTCATCAGAAATTCCCAGGTCTGCAACATTGTTCACTGAAGCTCCCATGATTTGCTGCTGCTTAGCTTTGGACTTATAACCTTGCACCCATCCCGGCGGGGATCCGTGTTTCTTATAGCACTTGTCTATTGTGTGGCCAGACATCCCACAATAAGTGCATTTTGCTCCTTTTCCAATGTTGTTTCTTCTTGGATTATAAGCATTCATAGCAGCAATAATATTGTCATCAGAGTTAGGAGTTTGACTAATCTGATTATTATGCAGAGCATTTGCATGGTTAAAATCCAGACTCCCTAGACTCAAACTCCTTAGGTTAATCTGTCTCTCTACCTTCTCAGCCATAACAAAAACTTTGTAGATTTCTGGCAATGGATCAAGCACAAACACATTGGATTTCAAGCTACTATAATCATCATTCAAGCCTTGTAAGAAACGTATTACCTGATCAGTGTCACGTTCTTTCCTAATTTCATCGATCAGTCCACATGCACAACGTGGATCACACTTACAGATAGGTATAGGCCTCAGAACATTCAATTCCTCCCACATAGTTCGACATTTAGTATAGTATTCATTTACCGTCAGATTTGCTTGCTTTAGATTGTAGATTTCATTCTGTAGAGTAGAGATTCGCTGAGCATCATGTCGTGAGAACCTCCTCTGCAAATCATTCCACACCTCTCTGGCTTTGTCAAGATGCATGACTCTCTGTGCGATGGACGGCTGAACTGATCGGAAGATCCACGAGCAAATCAACAGATTGCATCTTCTCCAGGCGGCGTATTGAGGATGATCGCGGACTGGTGCTACGGTGGTGCCGTCAACAAGACTCCACTTGTTCTTCACTTCTAACGCTATGCGCATCGAAATCGACCACGAACTGTAATTTCCGCTTCCTGTAAGCAGCGGAGTGACCAGAATTGTTGACGGACTGTCGTTGTTGTTGATAAATAGTGGATTCTCCAATTCTTCTAGGCTATAGTTTCTTTGTGCTTGTGTAGGTGAGTTCCTCTGAGGAACATTGATGGAAGCAGTACGAATAGGTGAGCGGTTGACTGGCGGAGCATTCTGCGCTCCTTGATTCGACTCTCCACCACCGGAGGCGGCGACGGCGTAAGAGCGGTGCTCCGATACCATAACGGAATCAGCTCATACGTAGAGAGAGAAAAAAGAAAAGAGGATGTGATGTTGTTTAATTCTGTTCAACTCATTACAGAGAGAGAGATACAAAGCTTATATACGAGGGAAATGGAGAAGACGGTTACAACAGATTTGGCTAAGAAAAGATTACTTTCCTGCCCCTGACTTCAATTCGCGTATACCATCCTCCGATACTATCTAAGGACCGATTGTTATTCATAAGTCTTGTTTTGACCGCGGAAAGGTTAACTTTACAAAAAGTGCTTATTTGGTTGGGAAAAATAAGACTTCTCACACCAAGCTTACTCTACCTAAAAAAAATACAACTACTGATTCAACCTCTTGTCGATACTACTAGTCTTCTCGCTACCTATTAGAAAAATCCCTTCTATACTACTCAACAAAAGTCAAAATCCCATCAAGATAGATTGAATCGACGACATATACTTCAACTAAAGGCACAAGGGAATAAAGGATTCAAATGCACAGAACAGAGGAAATGCACATGGGTCTCCTTGAAGAATGAAGTCTAAGGTATAGAAAGAAAGGTACAGTGGGCGAATTTTTTTCTCTAAGAATGTCGATTGAATAAACCCTACTCCTATATACCTTGCCATAAAGCTTAGATGTAATGCAGAATGGTAGAAGTGGACCCCACCCCCACCCCTGCTAACCTTACACGAATCCCGCACGGAAGAAAAGTAATTAAATCCATATACCATAACGGTAGAGTCGTTGTAGGGTAAGTGGACCCCATTAAAAAATTTCTAATTAAATATTTTAATTCTAAAATGACATTGTTTGGGGTCGGGGTTAATTATTTTTAAAAGGTTAAAACAATGCGAGTCGACAACAAACTCAAACCCTATATACCTTTCCATAAAGCTTATAAGTAATGCAAAACGACAGAAGTGGACCCACCCCTCCCATGCTAACCTTACACAAACCCTTGCACGAAAAAAAGTTGACCCCACTAAAAAAACTCCTTTTTAAATATTTTAATTCTAAAATTCCTTTTTAAATATTTTAAACGGCAGGAGGTTGTGAAGCCAAAGACAAGACGATAACACCTCTAGGATCCAAGCCACAACGCCTCACGTCACCTACCACTTGTAATCGGCTGCCGACGGCGATACGTCGTTAACACAAAATGTCAATATTTAATTTGGTAATATAATTCTAATTACCATATATAACATTTTCATAATATAATACTACCAAGATATCAACTACATAATTGGAATATTATTTCTTGCCAAAATTTTCTGAATAACCAATACTACTCCACCGTTTACTGTCCCGCTTTTCAGTTGTGAACAGCATCACGGAAAACGTCATCGAGCACCGGACAACCCCACCGGAGCGTCGAACGCTAGGAATATGCAGCAGATTGCCGGTTGCTTCTCTCGCTGGAATCGCCTGCCGGATCTACTACTGGAGTCGCTGATCGCAACGCCTGCTATAGCCGCTGGTCGCAACTCCGATACGACAACCGACCATGAAACTTAGATCGGAGGAGAAACGGTTGTGTCTCCTAGACCGCCGGCGACATCTTTGACCGATAATGGCGACTCTCCAATAAATGTTGGCTCCTAAGGCATACATGTCTAACAGAGCCGTTGTAAGGTAAGTAAATCCTACTAAAAAAATTTCTTTTTAAATATTTTAATTCTATAATGACATTGTTTGGGAGCTAATTATTTTCAAAAGGTTAAAAGCAAGTGAGTCGACAACAAACTCAAACCATATATACATTGTCATAAACATTAGAAGTAACGCAAAACGGCAAAAGTGCACCCCACCCCCTATCCTGCTAACCTTACACGAACCCCGCACGGAAGAAAAGTAATTAAATTTATATACCATTACGGTAGAGCCGTTGTAGGGTAAGTGGACCCCACTAAAAAATATTTCTTTATAAATATTTTAATTCTAAAATGACATTATATTGTTTGCGAGCTAATTATTTTTAAAATGTTAAAAGCAAGCGAGTTGACAACAAACTCAAACCCTATATCCCTTGCCATAAACCTTATTAGTAACGTAGAACGGCAAAAGGTTGTGAAGTCAAAGACGAGACGATAACACCTCTAGGATCCAACCCACAACGCTTCATGTCACTGATCACTTCTAATTGGCTACCGACAGCGTTAACACAAAGGGTCAAAATTTGAAAACTCGTGTTAATTTATTAAATCTAGTCACTTTCTTTATTTATGAATGTTCATTTATTAGTTAATTTTTTTTTTTTGAAAATCATTTATTAGTTAATTTATTTCATATGAAATTGATTAAAGTTTTATTGAGAATATTTGAATTTTACCCCCAAAGTTAATTTGTTTTAGAATATGAAGGGAACAATTCTAGGAGTGAATAACATTAATCTTATTTTTATTATGAACAACCCATATATAACAGTTAGTTTTCCAAATTTTGTACTAAATGGCAGCTTGTCCTTCAATTACTTCAATTGAATTTCTCTAACAATTTCTTTGAATGACTAGAAAAATTGCAATCACTATCAAAGTTGATCTGATTGTTATTCGTAAGGCTTTGGTGCTAGTACCATTATTATTGATCAACACCTTAGAAATTCTCATTCCCATGCCCCACGCCCTCCTTCTACTAGTCTTACACGAATCCCGCACGGAAAGGTAATTAAATCGATATACTATAGTGGTAGAGTCGTGGTAGTGTAAGTGAACCCACAAAAAATTCATTTTTAAATATTTTAATTCTAAAATGACATTGTTTGGCGGTTAATTATTTTTAAAAAGTTTAAAGCAAGCGATTTGATAACAAACTCAAACCCTATATAACCTTGTCTTAAAGCTTAGAACTAACGTAGAACGACAGAAGGTTGTGAAGCCAAAGACGAGACGATTACACATCTAAGACCCAACCCACAACGCCTCATGTCACCGATAACTTCCAATCGGCTACCGACGGCGATACGCCGTTAAAACAAAATGTCAAAATTTAGAAACTCGTTTTTATTTCTTAAATCTAGTTACTTTCTTTATTTATGAATGTTCACTTATTAGTTAATTTATTTCATATGAAATTGATTAAAGCTTTATTGAGAATAATAAATTTGAGTTTTACCCCAATTTTGTGAAAGTTTGTTTAAGAAATTGGTTGAGAATTGTGAGTATTCTGTCTAATTTGGGTGTAGATCGACCTTGTAGTCCTTGTTGTTGCGGGTGTTTTGTGTGAATTAGCTACTGAATACTCTTATCATCATATTTACTACTAGCAATTACCGATTAGCACTAAGTTTTATAATAATTTACATTACATGTGGATTAAGGTTTATAGTTTTTTCCCAAATTGGAACCCTTGAATTCTAGATTCTTTAATTTGATTAAAATTTCGTTATTATGTTAAAATATGTTGTTGAAATGTCAAATTTATGATCTTGTAATTTCTTATAACTAAAAAAAAAAAAAATTACATTTTGATTTATAACTTATAATACGTTTTGTATTCATATTATTTTACCGAATTAAAACGTATTATAAATCAAATAATTAATCACATCGGACAAAAGTTCGTTACTTTTATTCCTTCAATTTAGTTTTTCCAAAATGATTCTAAATCCATTAGTTTCAAAACAGATCACATTGGACAAAAGTTTTCAAGATGGAGAATGAAACCCCAGTTGTGGACATTTTGGAACAAATTATTTTTAGAAAAATTCTTCTTACCCCTTGCCAACACTATCTAAGGTCTGATTGTTATTTGTATGTCTTGTTTTGTTCGCGGAAAGGTTAACATTACAGAAAGTACTTATTTGGTTGGGAAAAATAAGATTTCTTACACCAACCCTATCCTGCCCAAAAAAAGTTTCCACTATTGATTCAACCTCTTGTCGATACTACTAGTCTTCTCACTACCTACCACAAAAATCTCTTCTATATATATTACTCAACAAAAGCCAAAATCCCATCAAGATAGATTGACTCGACGACCTATACTTCAACTAAAGGCACAAGGGAATCAAGGGTTCAAGAGCACAGAACAGAGGAAATGCACATAGGTCTCCTAGAATAATGAAGTCTAAGGTATAGAAAGAAAGGTAGAGTGGGCACATTTTTTCTCTAAGAGTGTGCATTGAATAAACCCTACTCCTATATACCTTGCCATAAAGCTTTGAAGTAATGCAGAATGTTAGAAGTAATGCAGAATGGTAGAAGTGGACCCCACCCCCTCCCCTGCTAACCTTACACGAACCCCGCACGGATGAAAAGTAATTAAATCCATATACCATAACGGTAGAGCCGTTGTAGGGTAAGTGGACTCCATTAAAAAAAATTCATTTATAAATATTTTAATTCTAAAATGACATTGTTTGGGATCGGGACTAATTAGTTTTAAAAGGTTAAAACAAAGCGAGTCGACAACAAACTCAAACCCTATATACCATGCCATAAAGCTTATAAGTAACGCAGAACGGCAAAAGTGGACCAACCCCTCCCCTATTAACCTTACACGGACCCCGCACGAAAAAAAATTAATTAAATCCATATACCACAGCGGTAGAACCGTTATTCGGTAAGTTGATCCCATTAAAAAAAAAATCATTTTTAAATATTTTAATTTTAAAATTCCTTTTTAAATATTTTAAAGGCTGAAGTTGTGAAGCCAAAGACAAGACGATAACACCTCTAGCATCCAACCCACAACGCCTCACATCACCTACCACTTCAAATCGACTGCCGACGGGGATAAGTAGTTAACACAAAATGTCAATATTTAATTTGGTAATATAATTCTAATATAATTATCCTATATAACATTTTCATAATATAATACTACCAAGAATATCAACTACATAATTGGAATATTATTTCTTGCCAAAATTTTTCGAATAACCAATATTACTCCACACTTCATTTCCCGCTTTTCGGTTGTCAATAGCATCACGGAAAACGCCATCGGGCACGGGACAACCCCACTGGAGCGTCGAACGCTAGGAACAGGCAGCAGATTAAATATTTCCGGTTGCTTCTCTCGCTGGAGTCGCCTGTCGGATCTACTACTGGATTCGCTGACCGCAACACCTGCTATAGCCGATGGTCGCAACTCCGATACGACAACTGACCGCGAAACTCATATTGGGGGAGAACGGTCGCGTCGCCTAGACCGCCGGCGACATCTTCGACCGACAATGGCGACTCTCCAATCGACCAACCGACTCTCCAACAAATGTTGGCTCCTATGGCATACATGTCTGATAGAGCCGTTGTAAGGTAAGTGAATCCTACTAAAAAAAATTCTTTTTAAGTATTTTATTCTAAAATGACATTGTTTGGGAGCTAATTATTTTTAAAAGTTTAAAAGCAAGTGAGTCGACAACAAACTCAAACCATATATACATTGTCATAAACATTAGAAGTAACGCAAAACAACAGAAGTGGATCCTACCCCCTCCCCTACTAACCTTACACGAACCTCGCACGGAAAAAAATATAATTAAATTTATATACCATAACGGTAGAGTCGTTGTAGGGTAAGTGGACCCCACTAAAAATTTTCCTTTTTAAAT